CCTTGCTGATCTGCTCGATGCCCTGCAGGGTCATGTCCGTCAACATGTTGGACTCGATGCACCTCAAGAAGACGTCGTCGTCCATCTTGTCCACCACCTCCTCCTCCTGGGGACAACAGGAGGTGACAACCACCCTCCCCGGGGTCGGGTTGTCTCCTCCCCACCCATGGGTGTCCCACCCCCACCCCACCCCACCCCACCCACCTCCTGCATCTTGTTCTCGTCGCTGTTCATGATGCGGATCCTCAAAACCAACTTCTCGGCGTTGTCATCGTTGAAGATGCAGTTGAGGTCGTCACCGAAACCTGACGGAGGGGACATCAACCCCACCCCATGGTCACCCAGGAGCTCCCAAAGCCCCCCCAGATGCCCTCAAGGCTCCTCCAGGACCTCCAAAGCCCCCTCAGATGCCTTCAAGGCTCACCCAGGACCTCCAAAGCCCTCTCAGATGCCCTCAAGGCTCTTCTAGGTCGCCCAAAGCCCCCTCAGATGCCTTCAAGTCTCCTCCAGGACCTCCAAACCCCCCTCAGATACCTTCAAGGCTCACCTAGGTCCCCCAAAGCCCCCTTAGATGCCTTCAAGGCTCTTCTAGGTCCCCCAAAGCCCCCTCAGATGCCTTCAAAGCTCACCCAGGACCTCCACAGCCCTCTCAAATGCCCTCAAGGCTCTCCTAGATCCACAAAACCAACTTCTCGGCGTTGTCATCGTTGAAGATGCAGTTGAGGTCGTCACCGAAACCTGACGGAGGGGACATCAACCCCACCCCATGGTCACCCAGGAGCTCCCAAAGCCCCCTCAGATGCCCTCAAGGCTCCTCCAGGCCCTCAGAAGCCCCCTCAGATGCCTTCAAGGCTCCCCCAGGACCTCCAAAGCCCTCTCAGATGCCCTCAAGGCTCTTCTAGGTCGCCCAAAGCCCCCTCAGATCCCCTCAAGGCTCATCTAGGACCCTCCAAAGACCATCCATGGTCACCCAGGACCCTCAAAGTACCCCCAGATGCCTTCAAGGCTCCTCCAGGACCTCCAAAGCCTGCTCAGATGCCCTCAAGGCTCCTCCAGGACCTCCAAAGCCCCCTCAGATGCCTTCAAGGCTCTCCTAGGTCCCCCAAAGCCCCCTCAGATGCCTTCAAGTCTCCCCCTGACCCCTCCAAAGCCCCCTCAGATGCCCTCAAGGCTCACCCAGGACCTCCAAAGCCTTCTCAGATGCCCTCAAGGTTCTCCTAGGTCCCTCAAAGCCCCCTCAGATGCCTTCAAGTCTCCCCCTGACCCCTCCAAAGCCCCCTCAGATGCCCTCAAGGCTCACCCAGGACCTCCAAAGCCTTCTCAGATGCCCTCAAGGTTCTCCTAGGTCCCTCAAAGCCCCCTCAGATGCCTTCAAGTCTCCTCCAGGACCTCCAAAGCCCCCTTAGATGCCTTCAAGTCTCCTCCAGGACCTCCAAAGCCCTCTCAGATGCCTTCAAGGCTCATCTAGGTCCCCAAAAGCCCCCTCAGATGCCTTCAAGGCTCATCTAGGTCCCCAAAAGCCCCCTCAGATGCCTTCAAGTCCCCTCCAGACCCTTCCAGGACCTCCAAAGCCCCCTCAGATGCCCCCAGGAGGACCCCCCCCAGCATGACCTCACCGGCGTTGATCTTCTCAGCGATCTGCTCCATGGTGAGCTTGCGGTCGGTCATGTGTTTGCGGTCGAGCTCGACGCGGAGCAACCAGGGGGAGATGCGGCTGACGTCAAAGTCGGGCATCTCGTAGTAGACGTTGACCCATTCCTGGTCCTCGGCCACCACCGTGCTCTGAGGGTTGGGGTCGTAGTAGATGGCGGTGTTGGCCGTCACCTTGCGCAGGGTGGTGTGTTCCAGGCGGCACAAGATGTCCTGGGGTGGGGAAAGGGGGAGAAGAACATGGAGATCCAGGGGTGGAGGACATGGGGATGGAGGACATGGAGATGGAGGACATGGAGATCCGGGGATGGAGGACATGGACATGAAGAACATGGGGATGGAGGACATAGATATGGAGATCCAGGAATGGAAGACATGGGGATGGAGAACACGGACACAAAGAACATGGAGATGGAGAACATGGAGATGGAGAACATGAAGAACATGGGGATGAAGAACATGGAGATCATGGGGATGGAGGACATGGAGAACATGGGGATGGAGGACACGGGGATGGAGGTCATGGAGATCCGGGGATGGAGGACATGGGGATGGAGAACATGGGAATGGAGAACACAGGGATCCAGGGATGGAGAACATGGAGATGGAGAAAACGGGGATGAAGGACATGGGGATGGAGGACACGGAGGTGGAGAACATGGAGATCCAGGGATGGAGGACAGGGGGATGGAGGTCATGGAGATCTGGGGATGGAGGACATGGACATGAAGAACATGGGGATGGAGGACATAGATATGGAGAAGATGGAGATCCAGGAATGGAGAACATGGGGATGGAGAACACGGACACAAAGAACATGGGGATGGAGAACATGGAGATCATGGGGATGGAGGACATGGAGAACATGGGGATGGAGGACACGGGGATGGAGAACATGGACATGAAGAACATGGGGATGGAGAACACAGGGATCCAGGGATGGAGAACATGGGGATGGAGGACATGGAGATGAAGAACATGGGGATGGAGAACATGGAAAATGGAGAAGATGGAGATCCAGGGATGGAGGACATGGGGATGGAGGACACGAAGAACATGGGGATGGAGGACATGAAGAACATGGGGATGGAGAAGATGGAGATCCAGGGATGGAAAACATGGAGATGAAGAACATGGAGATGGAGGACACAGAGATGGAGAACATGGAGATCCAGGGATGGAGGACATGGGGATGGAGAACATGGACATGAAGAACACAGAGCTGGAGAAGATGGAGATCCAGGGATGGAGAAGGTAGAAGATGACCCGGGGATCCCCACCCCCCCTCCCCACCCCACCTCGCCCCACGGCGCGCCCCACCTTGGCCCTCTCGGCGTCGCGGGCGCTTTGTCCCAGCAGGAAGACGGTGAGGGACGGGGTCTTGGGCTTCTTGGAGATGTTGATGAGCTCCTTGAGGCGGGGGACGCCCAAGGTGACGTTCTTGGCCGAGACCCCGGCGTAGTGGAAGGTGTTGAGGGTCATCTGGGTGGCGGGTTCTCCCAAGGACTGGGCGGCCAGAGCCCCCACCATCTCCCCGGGGTGCGCCTGGGGGGGGGGAGAAGGTCAAGGAGGTCATGAAGAACATGGGGATGGAGAAGATGGAGATCCAGGGATGGAAAACATGGAGATGAAGAACATGGAGATGGAGGACACAGAGATGGAGAACATGGAGATCCAGGGATGGAGGACATGGGGATGGAGAACATGGACATGAAGAACACAGAGCTGGAGAAGATGGAGATCCAGGGATGGAGAAGGTAGAAGATGACCCGGGGATCCCCACCCCCCCTCCCCACCCCACCTCGCCCCACGGCGCGCCCCACCTTGGCCCTCTCGGCGTCGCGGGCGCTTTGTCCCAGCAGGAAGACGGTGAGGGACGGGGTCTTGGGCTTCTTGGAGATGTTGATGAGCTCCTTGAGGCGGGGGACGCCCAAGGTGACGTTCTTGGCCGAGACCCCGGCGTAGTGGAAGGTGTTGAGGGTCATCTGGGTGGCGGGTTCTCCCAAGGACTGGGCGGCCAGAGCCCCCACCATCTCCCCGGGGTGCGCCTGGGGGGGGGGAGAAGGTCAAGGAGGTCCCCAAAACTGTCCTCCAGGTGGACACGAAGCCTCCTGAGATGTGGCTTCAAGAAGATCTCAGATCTAGACTCAAAATTGACTCCAAATCTGGGTCTAGAACATCAATTCTGGGCCCACCCGGTCTCAAGGGACACTAGGGGGGCACTTGGGGGGCACTTGTAGGTCAGGGGGGTCCCAAAATTGTTCTAGAGGTGGACACGAAGCCTCCTGAGATGCGGCTTCAAGAAGATCCCAGATCTGGACTCAACAGAGCTGGAGAAGATGGAGATCCAGGGATGGAGAAGGTAGAAGATGACCCGGGGATCCCCACCCCCCCTCCCC